AAGCAAGTTATTATTTACCTTCAATCTGTCCAATATCAATAAATGGATTCAATGATTTTCCAAAATCCATTAGAATATCTGTTCTCAAAATATGAAAGTCTCCTGTTAAACAATCGATTTCAACTTCACTCATTCCAACTCCTTGTGTAAAATACATAAAATTAACATCATTCTTTTCCCAATTATGTTTCAGAAACTTCTCTGGTACAATATAAAACCCATTTGTAAATAATTGTATACGTTCATAGTATGCTTGTTCGATAAGTTTTTCCCATGTCAAAGTTGGATGTTTCACTTTCAATGGTGCGAGCTTTTTGTTGAGTTGTTGACAAGCATCGATTAAAGCAGGACCGTAAAGATCTGATGATAGGGATCCAACTGTTGGCGTTGTGTTTGGTATTTTGTCTGTTGCAGTTTCGTGTAGACGAACAAGAGAGATATCAATACCAAGTTGTTCAGCTGTAATTTGTAACATTTTCATTTGAAGACCTTGGCCGATTTCAACGCCTAAAATAGAAATGAAACTGTCACTGTACCAAGATTCGATGAAGAGAAAAATAAATAACTCAATAGTATTTGGGCCCGGCTTTTGACTTTAACATGTCAAGTAGTGTGATTAGTTATTTAATGTTTTTAAGGGTAAGGATAGTTACATTTTGTTATAAAACTATAAGGTATGTATATTAACACGTTCAAACATAAAATAAGAGAACTGCGCCAACTTGTTGTCATTGGTCTCTAACGTTAGAATTTTTCATTTCGAATTCGTTAAGTCATCTGCAAAAAAAAATAAGTTTAAAAGTAAAAACGCTCACGCAAAAAGTCTATCACATGTGACATGACAATTTTGCATCGTAAGTAGTAAATCTTACTTAATACAGTTTACTAACTTCAAATATCGATATAGTAGTCATTGCAAAAAGTAGACTTCGAAATTTTAATAATGCGTATAGGTGTTTTGTAAAAAGTTTAAAAAAAACACTTTGGAAAGAAAATCCACTTTTCTCTGTGTTTGAACGCTTATTACATAGTTAGAGCCAGATTCTTTTGTGATTTTTAGCATCAAAGTCGCAAAGATATTATGGAAAAAAGGAAATCGTCTCAGCAAAAATTGTATGAAATAGAGAAAAAAAAGGTGATTTAGATGTAAACCAAGTCTTTATTTTTGAAAATGTTCATACGAATCGAAAGTTTCAAGATGGGTGTGGAAAAGGATCTTCTCGTAACTCACTCATACCCACACCCACACCCTGACTTGCATGGATACTTACCTCCATGTGTAATTAGAACACTTCCATCGTTGTAAATATTCACTAATGCTCCAGCTTGATGAAAAAACAATGCCGATGTAGCCCCAATACCAAACTTCGTTCCAATCATACTCAAACCTCGTTTTCGAAATTCATTTTTCTCATTAAATTCTTCAACATCTCTCAAACGCTGTTCATATAGTGCTGTTTCTTTTAAATTTTTCCACATTTTTGGTACATGCCAATCCTTTCTTTTAATCGCCTGGCTAAAATGTGTTTTTTCATTCGGCTCATAAATATTCAATTCACGTATAATAGATTGTTCGTAATTTGTTTGTAGATAACTGCAGACCTGATCCATAATCAATTCTGATGCTAAGAGACCTTGCGGACAACCGAATCCTCTCATTGCTGTATTACTCGGTAGATTTGTTCGGCAGATTCGTCCTCTCACTCGCATATTTTCACATTTATAAATATTATCACAATGTAACATGGCACGCTCAATCATTATTAGACTTGAATCTGTCGAATAGCCACCATTACCATAAAGGCAAAGATCGAGAGATTTTAACTTTCCACTATGGAGAAAACCAATTTTATAAACAATTTTGAACGGGTGACGATGACCAGTCAGTTTCATATCTTCTGCACGTGTAAGACAGAGACGTACAGGCATTTGTAGATCGTAGGCAGCTAAAGCAACTGTGATGCACGGAATAATATTACGTGATTCTTTACCACCGAAACCACCTCCGACACGCGTAACATGACAGATAATTTCATTTGAAGCGAGACCTGTGATTAAATCAAGAAAAAGATTAGCTTTTGGTGATTCATAAAACTTATTAGACATCTTTTGAATTAGTTCTGTACATTTTCTAATCAATGTCTGGTAGAGATGAAACGATTTAATAGAAGTTTGTGAGACAAATTTCATACAAGATTAGTTTTCATTATAAGTGATGAACCAAGTGCTTCAAATAAAATAGAGAAAATAACAGTTCACAATTAGGAAAGCTTTCAATATCGTAATATATCAGTTATATTTTTCTATACTAAATGAAACTTGCATTTTATTCAATTAATTTTTACTCAAATGTAATATTTATTGAACTGAGTTGAAACGTTTCACTTTTGTTCAACCAATCTTTCACTTATTTCTTTGATAATATGACTATTTTCTCTTAGTAGCTCAAGTGTCTTCTTTCATCTATCAGTTAGATCTGGCCAGAAATAAATGCTCGATAGGTTACAATTTTCTTAAAATTTGATACGATCAAGAATTTCCTACAGAGCTTGTTCTTGCTTCAATAAATATAAGACAAACGAACATGCTAAGTTATGTTACTTTTCATGAATTGCGCTCTACAAAGGATTAGAGAACGAGCATGAATGCAAATTTTTCTTTACTAGTTGAAAGTTACTCTCATCTTTATCTTCTTAACACATAGTACCTAATGCTTCTGCGATTGCTCTTTGTACTTGACTTGGTGCTTGTGTTGTTGAATAAACATGTAATTGTGTGTAGTGTCCTTCACTGACAGGTTGCACAACAAAAGCATTTGGTTCCATATAAAAGTGTTCTTGACCGCCAATATAAAATGTTCCTTCCAAGACATGGTCTGATTCGAGGAGACCTTGATCTATATTTCCAACTTGTAATGATTTTTCTTGTTGATCAGGTGAACCTAAAAACTGGAAACCTTTTAAAAAATGATTCTACTAACATTAAAAAAACTATACACCTAAATAACTTTCATATTTAATTGCTTCATCAATTGATAAAATTACTGGACTCAATTCTTCGTATTTAATTCTAACTAATTCTGCAGCTTGTCGTGCATGTTCTTCAGTATCTGCGACACATAATCCAATGACCATTCCCACACAATATACAAATTCTGAAGCAAATATTTCTTCATCTTTCACGAGTTCACCAAATTTATTTTGTCCTGTCGGTGGTATATCAATATGTGAATAAAATTTAATAAAACCTGGAATTTTTTGTGCTTCTTCAGTGCTGATTGATAGAATACGTGCATAGGGTTTACTGCTAAGTACTAATGTACCATGAAGTGTATTTTGTTGTGATGGAAGATCGTCAACATATTTCGCTTCACCAGTTGCATGTATATAAGCGTTATGATGAATGAATGGTTTATGCACGTATTGAGTCTGTTTTGATGTATCAAATGTTTGTTGACTATGAGAGATGGGACGTTGTTTTAAAAAGAGTTGTTGTACATTGTTTGTAACGTGTAAATAGAATTTGAACAAAAATGAAATCATGAGAGTACGACTATAATAGAGAACAAAATTTGATCATAATCTAAAAAAGAGCACATTTCGGGTAGCAAACGGAGAAATCAAATCTCTAATTAAGTTAAGGTCTTGTGTTAGATTTTGATGTTAGTTATGTTTAACATTAGATGTTTATTCTTGTGTGACTTTCAGAATTAAACAATTCTAGAGATATCAAAAGTTGATACAAAACTTTGTCGAAAGTAGAATATAAAATACAAAAACAGTAAAATCCGAACAGGACTCGTATTTTTCTGTCTTGAAACGTTTCCATAGACTGATAGTTTTTCTTATACGATAAACACTAACTATCCATTCATTGGGACATATATTGAGACAAAAACAGCAAAAATGCGTTTTGCGGATCAAACATTATACGAATTCACTATTTCATTGTGTTTGATTTTGGATGTATTACCAATATTTGCTTGGAAAACGTGTGTTTTTATGTTTTTTCTTGCGTGAGACAACAGAAGACGTACGTAAAAATCTAAAGAATTGTGCCTTACAACGTTTTTCGACGAACGAAAAATGGAAGGAAACTATTCTTTTCTTTTTGAAAAGCAAGAGAAAACACAACATTTCGAGGGGTGAATTCGATTATTTTTCTCGTTTTTAGTGTCTGAACGCGTTTTTCTTGCAAATCATTGTTATTTTGTTTTTGAGAAGCAAAATCATCTTCCAAGTTACTAGTTTTTATGAAAAACACTTGTCGCTATGTTCAGGTAGTCTATTCTTTCTCTATTTTAAAGATACATTTCGAATCCCTCCAAACAAAATTCAGGATCAGTAAGATGCAAAGATATAGTCTTTGGTAAGGATAAACATTCTTCAGGTAGTTTCGGACATGTTCTAACGACCACTTTGAAGTGGTTAACCTACATAAGTTCGATCGAATTTCGCTCACCGATATTCTTGTCTTCCACCATCAGAAAGTTGATCCAAGTGTATTTCTGTCAGCAGCTGACTCGTTACATTTTGCATAATTTCAGTTTTTGTCCATTCTAAATCGTTACCATTGACATAGTTCATTGTTTTTTCCGGTATGCAAATCACACCATTGTAAAAACCACCAAATGCCATTTGAAGCAACATAATTCGTCTGGTATTTCCATCTAATTTCAATCGAAATGCACACGTTACGATTCCTGTATCGTGTTTACGTCGATGAGCTTGTTTATAGGATTGCAGATATTCATCAGCATTTATAAATGGAATGAATACTGAGATCAACAGTAAGTCATTTATGTCAGTTTTATTCAGATCTTTGATTTCAATTTCAATTTCATCTTTATTTAATAAATGAATAAACCTCAATTTCGTTTGACACACGTAGAGTATTGGCAAAAGATCCGATGTATGTTTACGACTGTGATTTAATACGTGTCCTCCAACGGTCGCTTGATTTTGTACTTGTCGGCTAGCATTAAATTCAAGTTGTTCATAAAGAACTTTGTAGAGCTGTTGATGTTCTTGGTCTTGTTCTAGATAAGATTTAAAATGTGAAAGTGTAATGCATGAACCAATGAGAAGGCCATTGGATTGTTCAATTAGAAGCTGTAGCTCTGGAATTTGAGTAAGATGAATAAGACATCGATAACGATGTTGATGGACAGTATGGTCGAAATTTTCTCCAGTGTTACCAGCAATGAAGTAAAATTGATTGGCATATGTATATTGTTTTCGAATTTCGAAGAGATGATCGAGTGTAAGTGGACGATAAAATTCGATGTTGGTGCCTAAAAAACACGAGAGAGAGAAAAGTTTTTAGAACTAGTTAATAAACATTTGAAAGTAAGAAAGAAAGTAAACAGTTTTCATGAACTATTTCAGTGAATTCAAGAATCACTCTATTTTTGGTTAGTGTTGTTTTTGGGTGTATCCATGGGGAATCGCCAGTCGATACGGTGACCACGTCCAAATCCAATGAAACTTTCAGAGTTTCTAGAGCTTTTTGCGTTGATCATTTTGGTAAAAGAAATTTTAGAATTAGGCCTTGTTTTTGCCAAGATATATGTCAAATACTATTAGCACTTTTTCTAGTTTTTTGCAAAAAACAAATGCGACATTTAACAGAAAAACCGATGAAAGTGCACTATTGTTCACTCAAATTTTGAAACCAATGACATATTCGGAATCCTCATGAGAAACTGCATTAGAATCTGTAGTAATCAAAACATTTTTCATGGTTTTTTTTGTGCGCCCCTTGTGCTGACTTAGTAGAGATGAGTATTTTAAAAACTCAATGAGAAAGTTGGAATGAACGACAAAGGTGACATATGAAGTTCGATAGAGCATCACTTGCTCTACAAAGTGGCTTATTTAGTTTTCCCCCCGTGTTCGATTTTGCAAGCAGCGGTCGTCAAGAACATTTTATATAGCAATTTTTCAGAATTTTTTCATATTTTGACAATGAAAAGTTGACTGTAATGCAAAATAAACATGATATTCGGAATCAGCATAAAAAACTGCATCGAACACCTTATGTTTTAGCAAAATATTTTTTCTACCGAAATTTGACCCGTACTCCCCCTCAGCATCGTTTTTCTGAATTTTGACCTGAGGTACCCTACGGGTCAAATTTTGGTAGAAAAAATATTTTGCTAAAACATAAGCTGTTCGATGCAGTTTTTTTACCAAAATGATCAGCGCAAAAAGCTCTAGAAACTCTGAAAGTTTCATTGGATTTGGACGTGGTCAACGCATGGTCCTGGCGACTTCCGGTGGATACACCCTTTTTCAGATGTATCTTGCTAAAAATTTATTTTGGAGAAAATCATTAAAATACTTTCAAATGGTTTCTTTTAATCCTTGTTTAATTGAACTCTAAATATTTCATTTATTAAATCCTCCTAAACACTGTTTCTACAGTATTTCGAAGTTTTTCAAAACTTTGAATTGTTTTTTTTTGGAAATGGCTTTGAATTTCGACTTTCCTTCATTACAACGCCCTTGTCTTTTCTCTATGTTAGTTTTTGAATTGAAACAAGTTCCATTCGACATTTTATTCTATGAGTCTAGCGAAAAACTAACGGATTTACTTACAAAAAATTTTAGCCTATAGTGTTAAATTATATTCGCGTTAGAAAAAATTCAAATAAATATCGATTTCTGGTGTATACATTGAAAACATTCGTCTTCCTACAAAGTTTAATTAAAATAGTTTTTTATCTTACGAAATCAAGCACAGAAATCTGCCTTTGTCAAAAGTCGATAATTGTTTTCATTCTCTTTTTCTTTTCAGGAACTGAAGAACTGTTGAAAGACACAAAATTCAAAAAGACTGTCTCGTTCAATTTAGAAACTGCACTTGACATATGATATTTATTAGATATTTGTTTTTAGACAGAAAACAAGGTTTATTTTAATTTTTCTCTACTTAATATCCAGCTAAATCATTAATTTCCTAAAACTGTTCATAAATAAAGACTCAACTGGTCGCAGTGTTCCATATCTACACAGGTATGAAAGAGAAAACCATGAAGGTCGGGACAAACGATTTTAGGAATCTTTCACGAGTTGATTTTCGTTTCAGAAAAAAAACCAAAACCTCATTTCTAAGCATAAATAGTATCATAAAGACTCCTAAAAATTGAACTTCCAAATTTGTATGGCTTTTGGCTCTATAATTCCTTTACTTTAAGTACCGAGTTAAGCTATATAGGGCTAATAGCTTGCCAATTCCATACCTCTAATATAAATTGCTTTTGGCACATAGTCTGCTCCTAATTCTTTGGGAAAATCAACTATCAGGCCATCCATCACGTTCTTTTCAGCAAATGATTTTTTTGCACCGTCCAATATTGGTCGATAGCCGGTACAACGGCAAAGATTTCCATTAAATGTATCTTCAATATCTCTGATTGTTGGCTGTTTTTGGATCGAGCAATTGACTAATGTATCATAAAGTGACATACACATACCAGGTGTACAGAAACCACCTAAAGTAATGTAAAATGCCTCTAGTATGAAATCGTCATACAAAAGATAAGGAAAGGAGTAAAAGTTTTAGTGAGTGTACAGCCTAGAGAGCGACGGATCTGAGTCTGAAAATTTTGGCTTTTGTCAGGTCCGATTCTAAATCTAGTTTAGCTTCAGAATCGATCTGCATCAAGTGACGGATCGAGGTATATAATAATTATAACCAACGAATATTGCTTTCTGTGTTATTTTTCAAGGTTTCTTGTTTACCTTTATCTCTTCAATTAACAAAAGGTATATCAAATATCAAAAATGATAAATACGACTAAAACTATTCCATATAGCTGAAGATTTTGGTGTTACTGCTAGTTTGACAATTCTCAATGACAAATGGTTTTTATCAATTAATTGTTCAATTTCTTTTTTCGTTAACAACAGTTTGTTTTTCAACAATCGAAAAGTTTGAATTTAATGACCATTTAGTAGTGAAAAAATGAGCAACAAGAAATAACTGTATATACACTTTATTTCTAATGTGGATATTGAAGAGCTAAAACCTTGGGCCTTTATCTGTTCATGTATACAGAGGATGCCATGATTTGGTCAGAAAGAGATCGGATTTAGCCTTGATCGGATCCTAGTCAGGTGTGAGCCTGAGAATTTAGCTTTTGCCAGGTTCAAATGCAAAAAAAATATGGAGTCCCAACTCTCTAGTGCAATGTTATCTCTCTTGTTTCAGCAACGTTTTTGTCACGAACTAAAGACATTTCACTTTTTAAACCTCAAACAAACAAGATTGAAAGTTCTTTATGACTTAAGGTGAATTAGTAAAATAAGCTTTACATTGTGAACCATAATTTTCAGCAATAGCTCGTTGTATTGGATGCAGATTATCATTTGATTTGTGCGTAGAACCAAGACCTTCTACAGTCAAAATATGACAACCATCCAAAGTACACGCTAGGATCAAACATGAATTAACACTAAAGTGAGTATTTGATTTTGTCAAGAAATCATATTTAGAGATGACAACTGTGCATGAACCTATATGAAGAAGACAAGAAGAAAATTGTATTTAAAAGGTTATAGAAAATGGTCAAGCATGAAAACTTTAAGACATACCACAGCCACCAGTACTGCAACCAACTTTTGTACCAGTAAGACTTAATCCTAGTAGAATAAGGAAAAACTTGAGGAATATAGAGATTAGTTGTTCAGTAGTAATTCTTTGTCTCAAAAAGATATACTAGAAGACCTTGATGCAGAGAATCACCTGATCAAATTTTCGCTTAAGTAAATACGAACAACAATAAATCATTTGTAAGCCTGAATAATTACTACTAATCGTCTAAAAGGACTACTGAGTACTTACTCGTTCTTAAATAATAAGCTAATGTCCAATGTGGTTCAAGGTCTTTCTCGATCATTTTCTTTTGATTTATGTAAAATGTTAAATAATTCTTAGTTGATTCATCGTCTTTCTCTTTCGGCATTTTTATCTGTTTGGTTGTGGCTTGTAGAAACAATTGTTTCGTATAACAATACAGATTATAGTTTTTTTTTCTAAAAGCACGGGTGCATTTTTTGTAATAGTTTCATATTTATTGTTGTAAAACTTGATGATATTACACTCAAAAAAGAAAGAGAAAAAAGAAAAGATAAAAATGGCAAATAGTTTGAGAGATCGAATATCATTGTTTTTTTTTTGTTCTAATCTATGCCTTATATACTTCATGCACCAACCATCTGTCCTCTTTTTATTCTTCAAAGACGAAGTATTTTTTTTCTTTCAAATGAGACTAATTTACATTCGAAAGCTGAAGGTGTGGGTGTGGATGTGAGTATGACTTTTTTGTTTACTCACACCCTAACCTCCCACAAAGTATGGTACAACTCTTTTGGATCAAAGACGGCTTTGTGTCAAATGTTCGGTTTCTGGTTTACATTCAAGGTTATCCTTATTATTTCCATTTGCTAGACATATCTTTAGGAATATATCCTAAATTTATATTAGCCTCAATATATGAGTTCCACATATAAGCATCTAATAGAGTCGCATTGTTTTTTTCAAGTAGAATCGATTTTTGACCAGCTATTT